AGAGAGAGAGAGAGAGAGAGAGAGAGAGAGAGAGAGAGAGAGAGAGAGAGAAAGAGACAGAGAGACAGAGAAAAAGAGAGAGGAGGGTGCTTCAAAAGCCCCAAAGTCACACTTTCAATTTAAAAAAGACAAAAAGAAACGAGTCAAACTTGGTTTTGAAGCAACGACTCTAAAAATCTGCTCTCTCGCAGGCTCCTACAGCTAGTCCAACAATGGCGCGTCTCGTCCTGCTGGTTTTGGTCATCGAGGTGATGTCATCAGTGGCCTCCGTCAAGTGTAGCGAGCGCTTCGTCACACACAGACCCCACACCACAACAACGCCTGGGCCATCTACACTCGGCCCGACATCCACTTTTAGAGCCAAAGCGACATCCACGCCCAGTCTGACATCCACATCCAGTCGACAATCTACACCCAGTAGAATATCCACATCCGGTGGAACCTCCACTTCCGGTCTAACATCTACTTCCATATCCGGTGGAACACCAGTACCCAGTAGAACGTCAACTTCCGGTTTGACATCCACATCCGGCCTGGAATCAACATCCACATATAGTGGAACATCAACATCTAATGGAACATCCACATCCGGTGGGACACCTACATCCGGTAGAACGTCCACTTCTGGTCCGACATCCACATCCAGTATAACATCCACACCCGGTGAAACATCCACATCCAGTAGAATGACAACTTCTGGTGTGACATCAACGTCCGGTAGAACATCCACTTCCGGTCTGACATCCACTTCCGGTGCCACATCCACATCCGGTGGAACATCCACATCCGGTTTGGAATCAGCATTCACATCCAGTGGGACATCCACATCCGGTCTGGAATCAGCATCCACATCCGGTGGGACATCCACATCCGGTCTGGAATCAGCATCCACATCCAGTGGGATATCCACATCCGGTCTAGAATCTGCATTCACATCCAGTTGGACACCCACATCCCCATACGAAAGAACATCTACACCCGGTGCGACACCTACATCCGGTAGAACGTCCACTTCCGGTCTGACATCCACACCTGGTGTGACGTCCACATCCGGTCCGACATTCACATCCAGTAGAATATCCACTTCCGGTGAAACATCCACATCCAGTAGAATGACAACTTCCGGTATGGCATCAACATCCGGTAGAACATCCACTTCCGGTCTGACTTCCACATCCGGTCTGGGTGGAACGTTAACATCCAATCTGAAAACCACATCCAGTTCTACACCCATCTCCGGTCTGACATCCACATCCGGTCTGGGATCAACATTCATATCCGGAAGAACATCCAATCTGACATCCACATCCGGTGCCACACCCACATCCGGTGGAACATCCACCTCCGGTTTGGAATCAACATCTACATCCGGTCTGGGATCAACATCCATATCCGGAAGAACATCCAATCTGACAACCACATCCGGTTCTACACCCATCTCCGGTGAGACATCCACAACCGGTCTGGAATCAACAACCACATCCGGTCTGGAATCAACAACCACATCCGGTCTGGAATCAACATCCACATCCGGTCTGGAATCAACATCCACATCCGGTCTGGAATCAACATTCACATCCGGTCTGGAATCAACAACTATATCTGGTCAGGAATCAACAACTACATCCGGTCTGGAATCAACAACCATATCTGGTCAGGAATCAACAACTACATCCGGTCTGGAATCAAAAACCACATCCGGTCTGGAATCAACATCCACATTCGGTCTGGAATCAACAACGATATTTGGTCTGGAATCAACAACCACATCCAGTCTGGAATCAACAACCACATCCGGTCTGGAATCAACATCCACATCCGGTCTGGAATCAACATCCACATCCGGTCTGGAATCAACAACTATATCTGGTCAGGAATCAACAACTACATCCGGTCTGGAATCAACAACCATATCTGGTCAGGAATCAACAACTACATCCGGTCTGGAATCAAAAACCACATCCGGTCTGGAATCAACATCCACATTCGGTCTGGAATCAACAACCATATCTGGTCTGGAATCAACAACCACATCCGGTCTGGAATCAACAACCACATCCGGTCTGGAATCAACATCCACATTCGGTCGGGAATCAACAACCACATCCGGTCTGGAATCAACAACCATATCTGGTCTGAAATCAACAACCACATCCGATCTGAAATCAACAACCACATCCGTTCTGGAATCAACAACCACATCCGGTCTGGAATCAACAACCACATCCGGTCTGGAATCACCATCCACATCCGGTCTGGAATCAACTACCACATCCGGTCTGGAATCAACAACCACATCCGGTCTGGAATCAACAACCATATCTGGTCTGGAATCAACATCCACATCCGGTCTGGAATCAACAACCATATCTGGTCTGGAATCAACAACCACATCCGGTCTGGAATCACCATCCACATCCGGTCTGGAATCAACAACCACAACCGGTCTGGAATCAACATCCACATCCGGTCTGGAATCAACAACCACATCCGGTGGAAATTCAGCATCCGGTCTGACATTTACATCTAGTATATCTACTTCCGCTACAACATCCACATCCGGTATAACATTCACATCCGGTATAACATCTACTTCCGGTATAACATCCACATCTGGTATAACATCCACATCTGGTACAACATCCACATCCGGTATAACATCCACATCCGGTATAACATCTACTTCCGCTGCAACCTCCACATCCGGTATAACATCTACTTCCGCTACAAAATCCACATCCGGCCAGACATCCACCGTCAATGCAACATCCACACCCGAGCCGACACCCACAACGACATCTACAACGATACCTAAAACGACACCTACAACGATACCTACAGCAATACCTACGACGAATTCCGAGACGACATATACAACGATACCTACGACGACACCAACGACGACATCTAAGACGACGCATACAACGATACATAAGACAACATCCGAGACGATATCCACGACGACATCTACAACGATACCTTCGACGACATCTACAACGATATCCGATACGACACCCACGACGACATCCAAGACGACATCTTCAAAGACACCTGCAACAACACCGACTACGAAACCTACAAAGACACTCGCGACGACACCGACAACGACACCCGCGACGACACCGACAAGGACACCCACGACCGTGCCCACAACGACATCCACGCGGAGAACCATAGAGAAGTACAAGCCTGGAAGCATGCCCAAGCCGTGCTGTCTTCCTGACAAGTTCAGTGCCACTGAGTTCGATATGGGTCAGATGGTAAGGGATTACCCGGGCTTAATACACATACACACACATACACACACACACACACACACACACACACACACACACACACACACACACACAAACACACACACACACACACATACACACACACACACACAGGGGCGAAGGCTGACTTGTTTGACAGGGTAATCAAAGTGAAATGGGACCAGATAGGGCCTGGAGATATCACACTCACACAAGTCACAAGAATCTTACTGGCACTGGAGGCGGCAACTTTGAGTTGTGAATGAAAACAAATCCTGAATTCATGTTGTATGCTTGTTCAACCGCTAAAATAATCGGGAAAGTATTTCATTACATATTTATTCTAACTAACCTTAAATTTAACTTTAAATTTGAACACACGAACACCAAGGAAAGAAGCACAGATGTCAGCACTACAATGGCATGTTATACCAGACAGCCGAAACACTTTGGTAGAGCACGCCAACTATCAATTTTTTATTTCATATTTGGCTGTTTTTTGTCTAGCTTTTCGCGGCCAGGAGCCGCTGTCGTAATCGAGGTCACGATCTGATTATAGGACGTTAAAAAGTCGAGGAAAAAAACAAACACTAGCAGTGTAGTAGCAGGAGTCAAAGGATTATTAGGAGTTAGTTCCCCTCACATCTGTGAGGTAGACTCGACCAGTGTAATAGTTCACTAAGATAATCAGCGCGTCTGGGTGCTTATAACTGTGGCCCGAAAGGGGTGAACAAGGTATATGCGACAATGAAACAGTTTTGACTGCTATGCACATGTTCCCTTCAAATCCATTGATTGACTCTTCCAGCCTCACTTTAAGCTTACTTAATCAAAGCTTGTGACTGCTTATGGAGTGGCCCGATAGGGGCGAACAGGCTATTTCTGTGGCAACAAACGGTTTTGAAGGTTAGGCATAGTCTATTGTTCATTGGTGATTATGAACGTCTTTTTACATTTAATTTATGAGGTGTACGTCTATGGGTGAATTTGACTGCGACAATGTTTCAAAATTAGGAAGGGAAGCAGTGATTATTTGATTATATAGACGCTTCGCCTCTGATTCCACAGAAGAAACAAAATCCAAAATGGCGCAGGCTGCTGAACCTGTGACATCCGGGAACTCCACAGAAGTGGAAGGCAGAGAGTTGGTTCTGTTCTTGCTCGGGAAAACTGGTCACGGCAAAAGTTCTACTGGCAACACCATCTTGGCGCGGCCGGCTTTCGAAGTGTGTGTGTGTTGTTTAGTTGTGGGTTGTTTTTTTTTGGAGGGTGGGGGGTGGGCGGGTCTCTCTCTCTCTCTCTCTGTCTGTCTGTCTGTGTGTGTGTGTGTGTGTGTGTGTGTGTGTGTGTGTGTGTGTGTGTCTCTCTTCTCTCTCTGTATGTCTGTCTGTCTGT